TATTATTAATATCATTTTCTTTTCTTCTTATATTTATCTTCTACTCTTTAATATAATATTAATTAAAAGTATTAAATATAATATCTTAAAAACTCTAGAAATTTTATAAGAGTTAGCTCTTATGAGAAATATCTTTATTTATTATCGCCCTTTAATAATAATAGAATATTATTATTAAAAGTTATTACTCTTACTATTAGAGATTAAATATAATATCTTTTATAATTTATTTAAAGATAATTATTATATTTTTTAATAAGCTAAGAATATACTAATTATATCGATTAATCTTCTTATATTCATCTGCAAATCTGAAAAGTTCCTTTCCGCACGATTTCCGCCGGGTCCGCACCATAAGCACGATTTAGCACGATTTAGCCTATTAAGTAGACTTTACCTATATTTAATCCTTTCCGCCAGTTCTATCAGTTTAGCAACTTCAAAAAATTTTTAATAACTTTAAAAATTTTGCGTAATGCACTCTAATATACTCTAAGTACTATTCTATATATGGTATCAATATATATCATTATCAATATACGTATTATTATGCGTTATATTAGAGTATTACCCACGTAATTAATTTTATTAAATCATCTAATTCCGTAGCCAAATTTGAGTTGACGTTGATACTCGTTGTTGTAGAACCTTGCCGTCGCAACGTCGATTATTAGAACTTTTCTTTTTTTATGCGTATTGCTATTAAACTGGCAGAACTAACGGAAAAGATTAAGATAGTTATTAAATCGGCGGAATTTTGGCTGATTTTTGAGATAGTTGCTAAACCGGCGGAATTCTTAATTTCAGCCCTATTCGCAAGATCAGCAATTTGAAATTTAGTAGGAACTTTTCAGATTTGCAGATGTTTAAAAATCTAATATACGCTATAATAGAGAGTCTTCTTAATTTAATAATTAAATATAATAATTCTATAATTTATAAAATAATAAATATATAAATCTAATAGAATAAGTATAATATTAAAAATAATAAATAATATAAAAGATAAAACTTTTAAGGATCTTAGAAAGAGAAGTAAATATTTTATAATTTTATTATAGTCTTAAATAGTAGAATAAAAGTAATATCTTAATTCTAATTCTATAAAATAAGATATATATTATATAAACTCGAGTATAGACTATAAGACTCTTTTAATACTAATATTATTATTTTTTCAAGATATTTTCCTTCGCGAGAATAATAATAATAAGAGAGAGAGCTTCTAAACTTAAGAAGATTAATTAAATCTCGAATTAATATAAAAGAGTATAACGAACTTAATACTTATCTATAGTAATATAATCTTATTCTCTTAATTTTACTCTCTTAGATAAATAGTTTATAATATATTTATTTATAAGATTAATAGATAAAATTATATATATAGAACTCTTACTATTAGCGATTATTAGGAAAATAATTATTCTATTAATAAAATAGTCGATAATCATATCTTATAATAAGAGATTATATATAATTTTAAAGTTTTTATCTTCTTTTTAATATAGATTATATTTAATTTTTAGCTCTTAAATCTTTATTTATATTAATAAATTCTAGATATAATCTCTAATCGATTAAATCGAGTCTCGTTATTCTTAATCTCGCTTATAATATCTTATAATATTTTTCTACTTTTAGCGATAATTATCGCGATTAAGATATTTAGAGAGATATAAAAATATTATATTCTATATATAATATAGAATATATTAATATTATTATATTTAAAGATAATTATCTATAACTTTAAATATAGTTAAAAAAATAGAATTAAGATTAATTATAATATTATTAAAAATTTATAAAATACTTTTTTAAAGAAGTATAATAGTAATTATATCGCTTTATTAGAAAAGCTAGATAATTTATAATAAATAATTAAATTTAAATATCTTTATTTCAAAATTATAGCCTTTATATAAGATAAGAATCTAAAGAGATAATATATTCTTATAATAAATATAAGCGTAGATTCTCTTACGAAAGACTCTCTAGCGAAACTAGTTAATTTATCTACTCTCTAGTAAATATATAATTTATTATTTTAAAGTAATATTATAGATAATAACTATTAATATATAAAAAAGAATATATTTAATATTTATTATATAATATAATAGTAATATATTTAGAGAAATCGATATAGAAGATATCTTTAGAATAGATTTTTAGAAGTCTATTTATAAGATAGAAATTATTTAAGTATTAGATTAAATATTATAAATAGAGAAATAATATAATAACTCTATTTAGATATAGAATTTAAGAATATAAAAGATATAGATAATTAATCTAGCGATTATAATAATTAAAATATAATTATAATATAATAATAATATTCTAAAAGAGAATATATTTTATAGATATCGCTATTTAATATTATAATAATTATAAAATATAGAGATAATTACTTTAAAAAAGATATTTAAAATATCGCTTTTTAAGTAATTATATAAAAGTTAATTAATTAATTAATATTAGATAGAAGATAATAAAATAAATAATATAAATAAGAAACTTCGATAAAAGTAAGATAAGATAGAATTAGAGAGATATAGCTCGAAGATAATCTCTTTAATTAACACTATTTCTTCTCTTCTCTTTTCTCTATATCTTTATATATATTAGATATATAGATTACTCTAGATAATATATTATATATAAAAACCAAACATAGTCGAAAGATCGAGTAGAGAAAAATGATTTTACTCTTACCTATATGACTAGAGGGACGCCCCTCCGATGTAGGAATCACACACACACACACACTAAGGGTCGGGGGTTCGAGGACGCTTGGATCCCCCATCAAAAATCAGAAACTTGATTTTTCAGAGGGTCGCTCGGGTGAAAGTCACGCCGAAGGCGGGCCCCGAAGCCGAATATTTTCGGGCAGGACGCCCTATTCCAATGAGGACATTTTCGGGCAGAACGCCCCAGGGCAAAAAGCCCAAGCAGACGCCCAGGGTAAAAGAAACCCCGAGGCCGGCCAAAAAACAGGCCTGAATTTGATTTGTGTGCGCTAAGGCGGGGCCACAGGCCCGGAATACAGCCCCATTCCCACATTGTACCGGTGCGAAGGCGGGGCCAAAGGCCTTTCACTTGGTAGCCCCGTGGGCAAAAGCCCCAGAGGCAATTTCAAGCCCCGCAAATGAGCGGGCATTTAGAAGTCTTCGGGGGAGTAAACCCCGAAGCACAGGGCATGTTGTCCTTAAAATCGTGGATCTTTCGGGGAAGAGTCCCCAGGACATCGCGATTTTTGCACTGTCTTCGGAGCTCGAGGACGAGCCCCCTAGAGGGGGAGGCATTGTTAGGAGCAGCCCCTACGGGGGCCCTACAGAGGTCCTGCGGGCAGGTATTTAGGTCCAAATAGGGGTGTCTGGCTATCAAGCGCAGACACCCCCGGAACCAGCTTTTTTAGCTGAGTTGCTAACAAAGCTCTTTTAAAATTTCTTAATCTTCTTATTAATAAATAAACTCGATTATTTAACGTAATATCGCTATTTATTAAACGAAAATACGCTTTCTTATATTATTCTTTTAATTTATTATACTCGCCTTTAAATCGTAAAATTTAATCTTAATCTTATTAAGTATTTTACGAATATTTAATATATATTTATTAAGATTATTAGATTTATTATAGATATTTTAACGCGATTTTTAAGAGTATTATAAACGCGAGTTTATTATATTTAATTCTCTTTTATAGCTCTTTCTACTTATTAAGATTAATAGAGATTTTTTATTTAATAAAGAGATAATAAAAGATAAAGAGAATATTAAATAGTAGTAATAGCGATTTAAACGCGTTAGAGTATATATTATAATTTCACTTAGCATTATTAAGATTACTCTTATTCTTCTTTTATAATAAAATTATATTATTTTTTAAGAGAATTTCTAATAGAGAATAATCTCGATTAATATCTTTAGAATTATTATTATACTAATTTAACTTTTTCTAAATATTCTTAAAGTTCTTATATTATAAGAGTTAATAAATAATATATTCTTAAAAGATTATAGTAAGCGAGATAAAGTTATAAAGCGAAGTTATAGATAGCTTTAAAAAAATTAATAAATAATAGTAAGATATAAAGAAGAAGAGTATAACAGATAAGGAGGGCTGTTAAATTACTATAAGAGGGCCTTACTAATCCGACGGGTCAACCTAATTATTCTCCAGTAATATTACCGTAAGGGTAGGCTGAGGTTTAAAAGCTCCCCGAAAGTCGGGGTCGACGCAGCTTGTATCGCCCAGTAGACCTAGCTATGGGATTTGCATGGGTGTAGCTCAAGCGTGCTAGTTGCGCTTGGGTCGGCGGCTTTATTTCGCGGTTCCTGGACCAGATCCGCCATGGCCTCGAAGGAAGGCGTAAGAGCGCCAGTGCCGCGGAACCGACCTGGGGGCGCACAGCAATTCATACAGGTGGAATTTCGGACTTCGATGCCAGTCCCTGTAGACTGTCAACTCGCGATGTACGGATCTCGATGCCTTGCAAAAGAGAGCTGAGGTGCTCGGATACTGCTGAAACTCTTACGTTGGTCATGCCTAGTGGCAAGTGCATGAAGCTTTTTTCATCCCAACGGCGGAATCCTTTCGGAAATGCATGGCTCATGGGATTTCTGCTTGAGACGCAAGTTGGATAAAGAGATATGGGGTCAAGAAAAGGGTAAAAACAAAAGCACGAGCTAAGAGGAAGGGACGGGCCAAGAGGGGCTCATGAGAGCAGGAGATGTAGGTAGAACAATCTAAACTGAAGACGAAGACAGGCAAGAATTTATGTATAGTGCAGATATATGGTGACTGAAAGATCGAAATTTGCTGAGAAACCAAAGCTAGCCATTTAGGACTTAGCGTCCAGGCACCGTGAGTCGACGTGTCACATGCCCGCTGGCAGCAATCCTACTCAGTTAAATGGAAACGGTCACAAGCATTAAGACTGAACGCATAGCCAATGATAATACGCTATTAGTACAATGATACCAACCCCTCAAAGTAATCGCAGCTCCCTCCACAGCCTCTCATGTCCCGCGGCAACTGGATACAGCGGCCTGAAAACCATCTGCAATATCTTGACATAATCGCTCATCTCCCTCAGAATCATCTCGTTGGTGAACACAATTGCTAGGTCATGCACTGTCCTGTTTCTGACCCGGTCCGCAAGAGCAGCCACGAGGCGAGGGAACGGAGCGTCCATACCGAGCACGAAATCGTCAAGAGGCGGGTCCCGAAGGAAGTGGTGCGCGATATTTACCTTGTTTCGATAGATCATGTTTTCGAGGTTCAGACAGTACTGAAGAAGAGCCCATGTGACTGACTTTCCGGAACCAATCCTCTGATTATTGGCTTGTATTATCAGCTGAGGGGCAGAGCGGATAGCGAGACGTTTGAAGTCGACCCAGGCATCGATAAGGGCTTTTAAGACGGTGCCGTGTAACGCTTCTAAGATCATGCTGTCATGCTGGTTGACATTGATGCTTGCGAGCTGTTCCAGGACGTAAAAGCGCTGAGGTTGGTCGAGGAAGTAGGTAAATAGGTCCACGACTTCACTGACGTTGATAAAGTGCTGCATTTGGAGAGCGCGTACTATCTCACGTGAGAGACTTTGATGGAAGATGCCGTCTACAATTTGGGCATCGACGATGCTGGATTCTAGATTGCTCCTTCCCGACTGAAGTTCGTCGTCATCGAGGGCAAATCTTTCGGGGTAGTCGTCATCCAGGTCCATCGAATCAGACATTTCGGGTTCGACAGTCGAGGTTGCGGCCGCGGCTTCGACAGCCGCTGTCTCATTCGCAGGAGGAGAGTTAGGTAAGTCTGCAGGCGAGGCTTGAAGCACTATTCCGATTGGCGTCGTCTCGCTGAAGCGCTGATGCTCTGGCTCCTTGAGTTGATCTGGCTGCTCCGGAAGTTGATTTAAAGGTTCTAATCCGTCATCGATGTAGATCTCACAATCTTTGAGGACTAGAGAGTATTCCTCTTCCTCTTTTATAGGTACGGAGTACTCTTCCTCGTCGCTCGAGGTACGGTCAGCTTCGTCTTGGGCTTTGAAGCGCAATTCGGACTCTCTGTTTGCCATAGCAGCTTGAGACTGTCGAATTAGGGCTTCCTGATCCTCGGCGTCTCCAATCCGCGGCCCGTCCAAAGATTTTGACTTGTGAGTTCTGACGTGTCCTGGGATAAAACGGTCATGCTGGTATCTCTTTGAACAGAAAGGACATTTAAATGGTTTTGAATGGCCACGGTAGACGATACAGAGAGGATGTAGACCGACATAATGCTCGTACAGGGTATCAAAGTCTAGAAAGGTGAGCTGGCATCCCGGGTCTGGGCAAGATCCGGACTGTACACTGCCTCTCCTGTTTAGAATACTCTGTCCGCTGGCTGGAGCTTTCCCACCTGTAGGTTGCTCAATTATTGTATGGGATGAAGCACCATTTCCAGTTGCTGGAGCAATGCGGTGCTCCATCTCACATGGTTCGTGATGTTTGCATTCGTTCACGGTAGGGAAGAACCTCTGGCAACCCAGACAGAGGTGTCTGTGCTTCTCCAACCGGTGCTTCTCCAACTCGTCTCGATTTTCACAAAGACGTTCGCAGTCAGAACATTGGAGACGGGAGGTGTGTTTTACGGTGAAATGACGGGCGAGAGCACCAGCGTTCGCTGATGTCGTCCAGGCGCATTCTGCACATATGTACTTGGGTTTGGTGGGTTTGATCTCGAAATCTTCAAGCTTGATCGGATGGCTCTGGTCGACTGGGTGCTGGCTTATATTCTGGAGTCGCCGATTCAGGGCTGCTAGATTGCCGTATGAAGGGGACATCATGGGGGGTTTTTGTTAAGGCTGAATAATGGGCAGACGCTAGAGGTAAAGTTGCAAGGAGTAGGCTGTTCGGATACATGATGGGGAGTGTAGACTCGAAACATTTATGTAAGAAAAGGGTTAAAAAATCATGAAAGAATGACGACAATAATGAAAAGGGAGTAATATCGCCGGAAACGTCGAAGTGTCGAAGAAGTCAATCGAAGCGGCCCTTACAAGGAAGGACTTCATAGTTGAGCATGGCTACTGATGTATGAGAAAGTAGTCATATATCATTATGCTACGGCTGAGCCTCTACGGGGGTCCGCTGTCTCCTCGCCTGGCTTCCTCGTAAGGAGTCATCATCTTGAGGTTTTGAGAGGCAGTCAACGGAGAGCGCAGGTTTCGCATCTCCATTAGCTGCTAGTTCCAGATGTAGGTCCTTCTGGCTGCTCATCTCATGGGGAAGGCTCGCGTCAGGTCTCCGGGAAGCCTCACTTTCAATGTCGAGGAAGGCGTTGCCCCGGGTGCCGTGACTTTTACGGGCGTGACCTCGAGATGGAAGCAGAAAGGGCACTGCACTTGTTTATTGGTATTAACAAAGCTGAAGGAACAAGAAAGGATGGATGATATTGAGAGAGATGACGCAAGAAGGTGCAAAGAGAGAAGGCTGCCCCTGAGGAAGTTGGCGACTCGGTGTCGAAACCGGCTAGCGCCCGAAAGGTGAACCCGTTCCGGCGCCAAGTCTCTCGAGTGCGATTGAGTGGACGATCAAAACCGGCAGGTACCCGCTACTGGTAAGCCCAAGGGCCAATCAAGCAGCATCGTGGGTACCGTAGCAATCAGCCATAATGAAACCACTTTCTTTGCCAAAGGAGCAGGTGATCCTTTGGGAAGGTCTCTTCTCGTCTCTCTCTTGTTCCTGCGCCTGAACAAGTTTGTGTGCAGCTGCTTGAACATCTGATTTGATGGGCTCCTTCAGACGACTCTTTTCTCTTCTTATGCAACCTTCTCCTTCTGTCTTCAGTCTCCTTTCCCGTCCCATCTGAATATACTCTCCAATCAACAGCATCATAGCAGACATCATCTCCTATTACCCATACACCATCCAAGTAGGTAGCTGCAGGCCGGCATACAAACATTCGTCATGGCTGTGCAAGCCCTGCTCCGAGATGGAGCCCTTAAGAACCTTTCGTCGCCGTCCTATCTTTCGCTCCCTCAGCTTGACTCCTTGTCTCTATCAAACATCATGTCTTCCTTCATGCCTTCTGTAAGGGCGCTTTCCAAAGCTGCACTGACATATTCGCAATTCGCCCTCTTTGCCTCAAGCAACACCGTCTCTGGGGGCTCGCCTGAGACATGCTCTAATCCACAGATTAGCTGCCAAAACACCTCTGCTATAGCGAACACATGCTGCTTCAATGCTCCTGGCGGGCAGCTGCTGCAGGTACATCAATACGCGCAGCATCTACATGCGCAAACTTTGACTGACTCCTTCCCCGCAGACTCAGTTTTGGGACGCTGACCCTTCGACTGGACCAGTCGATTCCTGGACCATTCACGGCCTCTGGTAGGTCCAACAGTCCTCTCCCATGTTCTCATGCTAACCTTCCACAGGCCGGACCACTGCGACGGAACCTTCGACTCCAATTGCGATGCGTCGCGTGCCTACACCAACATCACCGGCATCCTAACCGCCGCCGGCCAGACTTCCCTTCTCTCGTACATGGATACCTACTGGGTCAGTGACACGGGCACAAACGAGGCTTTCTGGGAGCATGAATGGGGAAAACACGGCACATGTATCAGTACATTGGAGCCAGATTGCTACACGGATTATACGCCACAGGAGGAGGTTGTGGACTTCTTCAACCAGGTGGTGACTTTGTTCAAGACATTGCCGTCCTACACATGGTTGTCGAACGCGGGCATTGTGCCGAGCTCGACAACGACGTATACCTCGGCGGATATACTGGCGGCGTTGCAATCACCAAGAGGTGTGACTGCTGTTATCCAGTGCGAGAATACGGATGAGCTGGACGAAATATGGTATTTTTATGATGTCCAAGGAAGCGTGCAGACGGGGACTTTCATTCCTACTGATCCAGGTAAGGACCTTCATCTCTTTCCCCCCGTTGACTCTACTAACGTCGGGCTTAGACGGCGCAACATCAGACTGTCCAGCAACAGGCGTCAAATACCTCCCCAAATCCGGCTCCAGCACCTCATCCACTACCTCAACCACAATCACCACCTCTACCACCACTGCTCCCGGCACTAGCCCTACATCCGCACCCGGAACCCCTTTCTCCGGCAAGGGAACCCTCCAAGTCACCTCTGGCGGACAAGCAAACGGCTGCATCATCAGCGCAGGGACATGGTACATCGGCGGCACATGCGCTACTTTCACCGCGACGGCCTCTGGCAGCGGCTTCACCCTGACTTCCAGCAAAGGCCTGTGCGCGGTCCAAAACGCCGATCTTGTTTGCGCCTCCTCGGTTTCAACAGCCACTGTCTTTACGAGCTCTGCCGGTGAGCTGGCCTATGCTGAGAACCCGGCCTTCTATGCAAGCAGTGTCCCGTCGGGAAGCGTCCAGGCGACTGTCTCCACAGCGACCTTGGCGCAAGGGTTGACTATTACTTGGAAGAGTTCTTAGAGAGTGATGGGTTCGCATTGGATAATGGCGTCGTGAAGACAATTTGGAATAGTCGCTGCGATTGCATGATTCAGTAGCGTATAATCAATCTATTATCATTCCTCTGTCCGAAAGGTCCGCTCTAGCACCCTAGAAAGTACACGCTCTGGCTCTCTACAGATGCCCATGTTTCCCTGTATGGACTCGTATTAATCAAGCCTTGTCCACTCACTCACTCTCTCCCTCTCCTCTAATAAGTCTCCCAACAGCAATCGGAGGAGCATTCGGATCCTACCATTGAATGGCTAACGCGGCACTGCTACTTTACCTACGGACTCCGCAAGTGAGTACAGTACCGCCCGGTTGACTTTTCCTGGATCCCGGTTGGATCGTGGATGGTTTAGTGTCAACGGGTGGAATCCATATATCTACCAGGAAGAAATAAGAGAAGGAAAGGAAAGGAAAGAAAAGGAAAAAGAAAAGGAAAGGAAAGGAAAGAAGATTTCAGACCGCACTCCGCCTTTATTGACGGTTGGCCATGCAAATCAGTTGAGCTGAGTATGGTAGGAAGCAATTCAGAACACTGGTGCCCTCTGCCTGGGCACATATTAAGGCCCTCGCCACGCCACTAGCTTAGGTATTCATTATCGACTAACTATCTATGCCAGGTATTGAATCATTTCCTTCAGACTATATAATGACTATGGGCCTGCATGCTTCAATCCCGTGCTCCTTCACCCCGGCCCTTCACATGACGTAGAGAAGATTAGTGTCTACGCAACGTCAACATTGACCTCGTGGCGAATCAGAATGCGATCGCAGGGCTTTGCTTACTCAAAGGATGGCTGCAGCTCAGTTGCGGCTTTTGAGTATATTTGCTTTCGAGCTCGTCTCGGATGTTGTTCAACAACGAAACATAGCTCTGCTGCGGGTTCTTTTTCAATGCGGATATAAATGCCCATGACATGGCGCCTGTGGCTTGACCGGCGATCTGTGCGTCTTGAGATGTCTGGTCGTCCTTGCTGCCCGACCACATGATGACGTCCGCGGGCGATGTCTTTGTAACCTTGTTCCTCTCGTACACCTCATCGCCCGTTGTGGCTTTCTTGAAGAAGCCCATGGCTGTCGAAGCGATCCCACCTATATCTCCACGAGCGTATTGAGACACGATAGAAAGTAGACCCTGACCAGCCTCCTTGGCGAGGTTGGGTTCCTTGAGAACACCTTGCGTAGAGTAGATGTATGGAAGATCGAGTGCGGAGCCAGAGTGGCAGGAGTCGAAAATCGCCGTCAGGCGCACACCTGGCATGAGGGTCTGCACCATGATGCGGTGCATTTCATCGTCGACGATATGGCCGGCTACTCTGAAGTCGACAGGGTAGATTACTTCGTCGTAGCCGTCGTCTTCGTCGCCGTCAAGATCAGGCGTCTGTCCACCGTGGCCTGCCGATTGTCAGTATTTGGGACTATGCGTGTGTGAAGCAGGTACTGACCTGAGTAATGGAAGAATAACGAGTCGTTAGGTTTTGCGTCCTTCACCAGCCAGTGCATGGCACGCAGGATGTTTTGTTTGGTAGGCTGACTCATAGGATTTTGTTGATCGTCTGTCAAGATGACCATATCTTCCCGCGCGTAGCCAAAGTTGCCATTGAGATATGTAGACATATTTTTGACGTCATTGATGCACCCTCTCAGTTGCCCTCTCTGTCCGAAATAATTAATCCCTATCAGTAGCGCCTTGCGTCTCCCTGTGCAGTTCGAGTATTGGAAGCTGTATTGTGGAGGTGCGCCTGCACCAAAGCTCTGCTGGCTTTGAGGCGGTGGAGGTGGGGCGTTAGGGTTGCCTTGGGTGTATGCGTTTGTATGTGTGGTGGGTAGACCTTGGGAATTAGAAAACCGCACATTAATTAAGTAAGTCTTGTATTGGACTCACCAGGTCGTCCTCCGTATTGTGGTCCTCCAGGTACAGGCGGCCCGTAGCCCGAGCCTGCTGGTGGTGGTGTCTTGTATCACTATCAGCCCAACTCATGCCATTCTCGTAAAGACCCCGCATACCGGCTGATATCCTCCACTGTACGGTCTTGGTGGCTGCTGCGGTGGTGGCGGGCCATACCCTCCATAGCCTGGTTGTGGTGAAGGTCCTCCCTGAGGAGGTGGGTACCCTGAATAACCTTGCGGCCTACCTCGAGATTAGCAAGAGCCCGTGAAGGGAGAGGTAGGTATAGCACACGGATATCCATTTTGTGGAGGATATCCCTGTGGTGGTGGTCCGTAGCCTTGTGGAGGAGGGGGCCCGTAGCCTTGAGGAGGGGGAGCTCCATAGCCTTGAGGCGGGTATTGTTGCGGTGGTGGATAGCCATGTTGCTGCCCCTGGCCGGGGAAGAAGGACATGACAGCGTGCGATGAGAGAAAGGACAGCGACGTTGCCGAATCTCACACAGCGCAATGTTGAGGCTCGAGTCAATGGGTGCTCGGAATAAGAAATAGCAAAAGGTCGCAAGGAAGCACTCGTCGAGACGGAAAGCGGTCGACTTCAGGGGAATCAGGGAAGTGCTTGCGTCAGAAGATATTATAGAGATGTTCACTTATCGTGCAAATACTGGAGCACATCGAATCAACGGACAGAAGGTGAAGGTTGAAGGGGATCTCGGGGGGATGCCTGAGGTTGAAAGATGGACAAATTCAGGGTCTTGGCAGGAACGTGGGGCTAGAGTTAGATCGGCAGCGTCGGACTAGGAAATTGTTATCCGAGAGGCCCTCAGCAATCAGCATTTTTATTTGCACAATTTCATGGAGCGTGAAAAGGATAGATCGACAACATTTGATGATATGCTCTCCTATGGGTGAGGAGAGCTAGTGATGTATAAGGTAGATTACTGTCAAAGCGCAAGTCTGAGGTCATGAAGAGGAAGTGACGATCTTAAGCTCTTTCTTCGTCTTTGTCTTTGTGGGATAGGACCTCATCCCGAGCTTTGGTAGATATTGAATGCTGCAATGCATATATGACATCTAGTAGTCAGATTTCTATTCTTACGTGAGACCCTGATCCAACGACTGTGACCGAAATGCAGGAAATACGGTATCAGCAATGCAGTATTAATAATCCCAGCTGATGTTTTCCCCAATCAAATTCATGGCACTCCTCTTCAGCTACAAACCTCAGCTGCTCGTGAAGAGGCAAATACCATCACAACCACAACGTGCAGCCATACAAACATTGACGACCGCGAGTCACCATCACCGATATCATGGCTGCAGAGACATCATCTATCCCTGTCGTAGACTTCGCCGCCTGGAGTTCCGATGCGTCACTGGAGCAGAGGAAAACAATCGCCCACAAGCTCATTGAAGCATGCCAGAATGTCGGCTTTGTCTACATTACCAATCATCACGTTTCACCCGAGCGACTAGCTCAAGCTTTTGAGTGGTCCAAAAAGCTCTTCGATTTGAAGCTAGAACAGAAAATGTTGGCTCCACACCCGAGCGGGTTCACAGTACATCGCGGCTACTCGTGGCCCGGCTTAGAGAAGGTCTCGAACGTTATGGGGGATGAAGATAATACAGCAGACCTGAGGAAGAACTTGCGCCAGATCTCTGATGTCAAGGTACGACTAAAGATGGAGCAGTACTAACGCATACTCACCAGTCACAGGAAAGCTATGAAATAGGCAGCGAGGATAACAAAGACCAGCCAAACCAATGGCTCCCTGAGGATGTTCTTCCTGGTTTTCGAGAATTCATGCTGAATTTCTACTGGGAGTGCCATAAGACCGCTATGAGTATGATGAGTGCGATGGCGCTTGGAGTTGGCCTGGACGACGAAAACCACTTTGTTCCAGCACACCCAGGGCACAACAATCAGTTACGTTTGCTTCACTACCCACCTGTGCCTGCAGCCAACATCGAGAGCCAGACTTCAACTAGAATGGGTGCTCATAGCGACTGGGGCTCCATCACCATGCTTTTCCAAGATGATTGCGGGGGCCTTCAAGTAAATGGATTGCTTTGTCAGTGTTGCGTCCGTATGAGCTGACAGCTTCTAGATTGAGAACCCTAATAAATCAGGCGAGTTCATCGACGTGCCTCCCTTGAAGGATGCAGTTGTCATGAACGTTGGTGACCTGATGATGCGCTGGAGCAACGGTAGATCTGGCCTCACCATTAGCGGTTCCAAGTACTGACACGTGAGAATTAGATACACTCAAGTCGAGCGTCCATCGCGTTACCCTTCCTCCGAAACAAGACCACTTCACAGGCGACGAGCGTATGACCCGGGCCCGCTACTCCATACCTTACTTCGTCGGCCCAGAAGGGCCGACTATAGTCGAATGTCTGCCATCTTGCATAGACGAGAGCCATCCCGTCAAATACGAACCTATCAGGTGGAACGACTACATGTTGATGCGAGCTAGCATGCAGTATGAAGCGCCTCCTGAAGCGGCTGCAGTCCGGCCTTATTGACGGCCTTGAGGGACCCGAAGATGCTGAACCTTGCACAAATTACAACATCGAATGGCAGAAGTCCGATGGCTAGCCTCTCAGACAGCAGCTTCGTAACTCCGGTGGTGGTGAAGGCAAAAGCCATCGACGCGCTTCAGTCCCTTTAGCTGTTACTACTCCATTCGCAGGCGAGATTTTATTAAGGGAAAGGTCCAGACCAAGAGGAATATTCTACTTTCTAGTATTCCAATGGTCGCTTTTCCTTTGACAAGTGGCACACTCTTGAGTGGTGGAAGCGCGTTGAGTTCTTGGCGCCCTCCATCTGCGCGCATGCCAAGACTCACTCTCAGCCAATCATTCGCTCTACAGCAATCCACCGTGAACTTTGTTTCACATTGTACGTTCTGTATACAATCCCATTGTCCAACTCTTTCTTTGAAGGCTGCAGAAAGATGTCATTGTGGATCGCTCATTGTCGCTCTACAGAATTTGCCACTACAATGATTTTGTCGCAGTGACTCCCCTCACAGGGCGGACTATTGTTCTTGCTCGTTGAGACTTTCCACTTCTCATTGTTTTCC